AAAAAAAAAGACAAAAAAGAAAAAAAGAAAAAAAAAACTAATGATGTATGGTGATTAACATAACATAATAAAATTAAAAAAATAAATAACAATAATAACAATAATAATAATAAAAAGGAAATCAGGTAGTCCAGGGATGGAAAATCAACTTTAACTGCTATGCCATCTGTGACTGGGTTGGTAAGCTGGCATCTTGGAACACTATTTTGAGAAAAATTTTGAGACTCAAAAAGAAAGAGTACTAAAATCATTGTGTTAGGTTTTTCATAGGAAGAGACTGGGAGAGTAGTAGCCTGCAGGTCTTAGACATGTATCCCACTTATGGTGTTCCAACTTCTGTTCACAGTTGTCAAGAAAACATACAGTACCCCGTTAAAAAAATAGAAGACCCAGGTCTTTAACTTATTGTCCAAAATGCTTTTCAGCATAGTAAGCAAATGATACTGGTAACCTTACAATTTTGTGTGGTAAAGAAAAGATAGACAGTTCTCCATAGGGAAAAGCTCAATTGGAGATTGTGTATTGTCAAGTTTGGTAAAAAGAGGTTGATCCACTAAGGAGAAAAGGAAAAGCCCACACACCTAAAATGAATTGAAAGTGAGTGACCCCAAAACAACGCTGGTTGGGCACATATATAAATGGGTCTGCAAAGCAACCTATCAAGAAGATATTTGACACCCATTTTGCCCCATTTTACCAATATAAAATGTTGGCCGGAGAAGAAAAGATACAAATTTATATGCTCTGGACATTGACCCTTCATAGGGCCCTATATAAAGGTGAGCATAAAAAAAGAGATTATAACTCATGACAGCAGAAGAGAGATTTGAGAAAATGAAGGGCTACACCAAGAACAGGAACAAAGATTAGTGAAGCAATCTAACTTTTGCTACAAGAATTCCACGTATCGACTGTTAGAAAACTACTTATTTAGACTTTTAGTTCTATACAATGCATTCTTCAGTTATTAGATAGTGTGAAACTGAATTTGCAAGATCAGAGTGTGTTTTTTATGGGTATCCACCACCTTTTTATTGTAAGAATCCAAAACAAGGACTTCTCAATATCATATTACTTTCCCACTATTATTTCAACTCCCATGATTTATTTATTTTATGTATACATGTACACACACCTCCAAACATAGAGTATATTGAACCTCTTGGTGGTTTGGTGACTCCAGCTGTCTGAGACTTTAACACTATCAAAGATGTTTGGAGCCTGTACTAATTGCTGGAAGCACACCTTTTTTCCCCCTCCCTCTCCTCCTTCTCCACTTCCCCCGCCGTCCTCTTTTAATAGCAACTGCAATTAGTAACACTTTTACCCTTTTGGGTCA